GGCTGTACTTAGCTGCTCTTGGTTCGACAAACATAATTTTCCAATAAACGCTTAATTTGATGTATCTTGCCAGCCTATTTGCGTATTTTCCTGTTCCATTTTTTGGATCTTTCGAACATATCATCAATAAAGTTCTCACGGAGAGAACACCATATGGAATCACGAAGCTTTTACACAACACCGAAACATCAAACGATGGCAAACGTCATTGTAATCCAGAAAACCCTGAGAAACTCAATGTGATAGTCTCTCTCAGAGAGAATTCAGAAACATGGGTTTGCACAATGTATACACGGTCATTCCGCTGCATCTGTATGCATGCACCTATTTCCGAAAAGGAGATTTTTATAATCAGTGACATAACAATCATAGGATGAAGAGAAGGTTACTAATTTCAACGGACAGCACAACACAACAAACGAAAGAGGGCGAGAGCCCATCACCAAAGCAAAGACAATGTAACCATTCGCATTGTTTACACGGATCGAATTTGAGAGTGCGAATGGCTAGTGTATCGGTAACTCCGTTTTTTATGTTTTAAAGCACCTGAAACGCGTGAACTGGAGTGACACCATTTTTTCCGTTCAAATGCGTTGTGTAATCGAAGATCTTTGATGACGGAATTGTTTCGAACTTGTCTCTCATCGCTTTTTTGAGCCAAAGCGAGATGTGTTCGGTCATTCCTCTCTATCCTGACCGAGCATACACATTTCAATTGATAAATGCAATTTGTTCAAATGGTTGTTTCGTAGATTGAAGTCTAATGTTGAAATTGTGAAATTCGATTTGATTTGGCGGAGACTGGGAATGGTTCCTTTTACGATATTGTTGGTACTCGAGCCAAGACAACAGACGGGTCAACTGCGTAATAAACGCGTTTGATGGTAGAGTTCAACCCCTTGCTGGTTAACTGACTGACGTCACTGTCTGAATGATAACCTTAAAACAGCGTTTATTTTGAGGGCAGTTATTGGTTTTATATTTTTGGTGTTACTTTACAATGTCTAGCGATAAATTCAACCGTGATATTAGTTAGTACGCAGTATATTCCACCTTCTATCTATCATCTATCTATCTATCTATCTATCTATCTATCTAACT